CCGCCCAGAACTGAGACGCGCCCGACATGCAACCTCCGCCAGCCAGCAACACTTCTAGCTATAGCCTGACGTACTTACTGCTTCACTTTCATTCGTTCCGTACCCTCGGACGTTTGGCTGGTGCGCCTTCTTCTTTACAACAGTAATAGGTGCGGTCCTTCCGTCCGCAGACCCCATTCGCCTCCAATACATGCCATCGGTATGGCAATATTTATTAGAATATTATTTATTAGAATAACAAGGCAAAAAAGGGATCGGCTGAGTCGTGCGTGTCGATGACCTGACGATGCACCAGCGGGAGCTAGCAGCGTGTAGGGAAGACGGTGAGCCCAGAGGCGACACGGGGAGTTATAGGAGTGAAGCGGCCGTCGAAGTCCGTCCAGCAGGTCTCTCTCCTTGTCCGACGTCGGGCGCGAACCTAAAGTATCATCAGTAGGACGAATCATGTATATCGTACTCCGGACTTCTCTCTCTCTACCCGCACGCTAGCTTCACGCTAACCGCCTGTACTTAGGGAGTAACCCGAGGGCGAAAAGGATGTCATGGAACGGTAATGGGGAGGTTTCTATGGTTGGCCTCTCACTCTCTTACACGCTCTCTTACATCTCCCCACATTCCGAAAAACTCCGTCTTTGGACTTGGAGTAGACCCGAGAAGAGTGAGAGCACGGCAAGCGACGGTTGGAGTAGGAAGGCTGAACCTTCTCCATCGAGCAAGTCAGGAAGCGCTGAGGCGGTAGTAACGACGTGAAGATTGTTGGCCCAGTGAAGAATGGTGTGCTAGTATGACGATCCGAGAAGAGATTGCTTGGTCCTAACAGGATTTGGCCGTGCGGCGTTTTGAAAGAGCAATGTTCAAGCGGCGGGGATCGTTCAAAACTTGCCGCGGTCAGCGTTGCATCCAATCCAGTACATGTCGTGAGGAGGATGACAATGTCTTTTTCTCAACGTTGCACTGTGTCGACTGGGTAGAGGCCCACTACAGAAGTTTTGGCGAAGTGGACAGTACGCGGGCTCGCTCTTCATAGAAGACGATGATATACCAATGGAGGAGCTGCTAATGTTCTTCTAAGTCAAGAGGGGCTTCGCTTCTTGAAGGCGACCTTTCAGCCTCGGACGTTCGTTGAGATGTTTGGATGGGAGGATGCTTGGAGGATGTGCCGGTCACGTCGGAGGAAATGAAAGGAAGCTTGGTTTGTGCATCGCACTGCGGAAAGCGACACGATCCACTGACGTGAAGTGCGCTACGAGCTATCCAATCTGCTCTTCTTCAATGGAGAACTAGAAGAGCACACTGGATAGCTCTTTCAAGTGAGGGTGTGCTCTGAAGGTGGTGGTGCACTCCGTGTAGAGGCAGGCCTTCCGTTGCTAGGATGTACCCGTCACCCCTTGAGCTCCGAATCCTGCCGGGTTGGACGAACGCGGACACCTTGCATGAGGTTCCAATAATGGATGTCTCCTATGTAGAGCTGTGTCAGCGACAGATGAGGTGGCTTAGCTCTACTAGTGCTGGCCCCAGTGTTTGTGAAGGCTTCATGTACGTGAAGCTGATCAAAATCATGAAGTCGTCTAGGAGTCCGCAGAAGATGCCGCCAGCTGAGATAAAGCTGCGCAGGGCGGATGTGGTGATACACAAGATGCGACATCGACGCTGACATTACGGTTGCGGTGGTTTGAGTTAGGCTGGAGATATCCCTTTCTGCCAAGCAGTGCTCATCGCATTCGGCATCTGATAGCTCGAGAGCTATTCCTCTTATACGCTTTTTTACACAAGATGACTCCTGGGACGTGGCAGTACTTTCGCTTCAGGACCTTGATCTCCCAGGCTACGTAGCGGCTAGTATAGTGGCCCGCAAAGCTACCATCGTGGCTGGCGAAGTAAGACAATAAAAGAAACATTCAGCTATCTCAACTTCACACCTTCACGTATGTCTTGATCCTACGCCTGACATCCTGTCGCCCAGGGATTACCAAAAATTTGGGTCTTCCCGATCGAAAAATTGTTTTTTTTTGTGTTATATAAGAGGTTGACAATTTCTTCAATGTCCACAGGCTCTTTGCATTACAATCGTTTTCCTTCGTTCATTGCTATTAACTTGCAATCGTTTTCTTCGTTTGCATTTGCTGTCACGTTGGCGTCAAATGTTACGGGGCGCTGCAAAGAATTATAATTCACACATTGCAGAATGGCTGACGTCAAGAAGCATTGCATGGAAACACTGAAAACTGTACAAGTCGGCAAGACTCCGGAACAGGTTCAGAATGGAAAAGACTTCTACAAGTAGTAAGTACTACATCAATATATTACCGTAAAGATAAAGACGTGGTGTATGATGAAATTGAAGGAGCGAGTTCGTCAGCCAGGTGCGTCTTAAGTGTACGTGTAAAGTAGTGAATCCCTTGACGGGTTTGAGCATTTAGTCGCTAGCCGCAGGGTGTTAGAAGTAAGACGATCCCACCCGGGCTGATATTGAAACTTTTTGCATTGGTGGGTTTTTCTATGCCGCTTCATCACTGGTGGAACAACAGTGTTGCGCGCGGCGCCCCCAGTTTTTCTCCACCAATTGTAGTTGCTGCCACGCTTCCGCAGTTTGGCGTGAGAAAGGGCTATCATCCCCGCTATACTTTCAGCCCCTGACACGCCACCAGGGCTACTGCAAAACAGACAAGTTGCAACTGATCCCAAAAGGGTGGAAAGCTCACTTGACGTGGGCAGGCGGTCGTGATTTATCCTCCGGACCGCTCTCGTAGAAAGTGACACCGCTTGTCATTCCATGATATATAGATAGCAATTTTTAAGCGCAAATTGGCTTGGTTAAATTCGACTTGTATGGCATTTTGCTATTTCCGATTGACCATTGCCGACGCCTCCTGTGGGGGCCTGTAAACCACTCTAGAGCCATGAAGTACCATAAGCTTCCTCTACACTGGATGAAAGTCCCCAGTTGTCGCTATGGTGAGAAGTGAAGGTGAGAAGGAACAAGCAAAGGTGACTAGCAAGTCGATCAAATAATCGCTAGGGCTGCACAGATACTGTCCTGCGCGCTGCTCATCCATCCTGCTCACAAGGGTGATCCATCGTCACATTGTCATGTCATTAATGCAACGACAGTGCGAGGTGACGCTCGAGCAGGTTCAGGAATCTTGCGAAAAAACTAGTCACTGGTGTCAACGAAAACACAGCAAGGTCCATCGTTAAATTTAGCAGACGTTGAAATGTCGTCGCTAAACGTCTCCATACAAGCAACAACAGAATGGAGCTGTCCCCTAGCGTCCTGAAGCGCTTTAAGGAAGTCGTGAACAACATGCACAGTCTAAAGAGATCCAGCGGGAACACTGAACTCTGGGAGCGGCATATATGGTGGGTCGCTTCCATGATCTTCAATGCTCAAGTAAAGTTAAAAAGGGCTTTTGCGAGCTTGACTGCGTCGTCTGTGACTGCAGCGGTCCACAAGTCCGCTTACGGTCTCAGTTTCTCAGCACACGGTCCACAGGAGAAGAAGAAACGCATGTTCGCTGACAAAAGAGGGTCACCGCATTCGTTTTCCACGAAAATGTGGTGTGTTAAATTCGATTTGAAAGTATTGGACTTGATTGGAAAGCTGTTAATTTGCCTGGAAAAGTGTTGAATTTTGCATGCAATTTACTATGCTGAAGATAGTAAGAACACTGTGGGCAGATGTGATGTGCTAAGAGGATAACCTCGGAACTTTAAGCCTGTTCACCCACCATCCCGATGTGCGCAAATACTTCAAGGGGGCTGAGAGCTTCACTGCTGATGACGTTCAGAAGAGCGACCGGTAAGCATAATGTCTTTCCCATGTAGTTGAGGAACTACTAGAAGTTTTTAGGTTCGAGAAACTCGGAACTGGACTGCTTTTGTCTGTGCACATCCTTGCAAACACCTACGATAACGTGGGTTTTGAATGTGGTAGTTATTTTTCTACAGCTCAGAGGCTAATTAAAAGGTAACATTCCAGGAGATGGTATTCCGCGCGTTCTGTCGCGAGACCATCGACAGGCATGTTGGTCGAGGCCTCGACCCCTCCTTGTGGAAGGTTTGTAAATGTCACACAGTTTTTCTCAGTAATAAGGAAATTTGAAGGAAAAAACTTCAGCGTTTCAAAGGCAATCTCGGCCAATTCGTAGGACTCCTTCTTGTTCAGGCAGTACAGTGCGTAAGCACGACGGTTGTCCCCTTTTCCGCCGTTCTCTCATTGTAAGGTGTAGGGGGTACAATTTCTACGATGGCTCTTCGCACTATTAGGGCAGGTAGAAACCTACGAAACCAGTCTCTGAAACATTTTCTTTCATGGAATCCAAACCTTACATAGCTCGACCCTGCCCCTGCACTTGCAGGGAACCTTCACTGCAATGCAGGGGCAAGGTCGAACTATGTAACCCTTTACCTTTAG